TTTATAGAACTTTCACATATGCACACATTTTATTTCCTATATTTGTTGTATTGAATACAAAGAACTGTAGATAATCAAACACTGGCTCACTGGATTCACCACATAGGGATTGCATTGTTTGTTTTTAAAGAGTTTCCAACTTGGACTTGTATTGTGAGAAGGAGCAGTGAACATTGTGTAGCACTGCAAAAGCAGCAGAAAGAGCCTACTGCTGGTAATAAGCACATTTAGCTGCCCTATGTATATATGATTCCAAATACACATATGCTTAACATATATATTAATATTTAACTGATAAGTATTTAGAATACTGAAAAGACAATACAGTCCCTTGAAGTTTCATTCTAGGTCTCTGACATGATCATCCCAGCAGAGAGCTTTATATGTATTTCCCTGTCTTTTGTGTTTTGGTAAATTTAAAAATGTACCTGGAAAAAAAATATTTATTACAAATTACTACTGAAAAAGATAGATGTTTACAGGCTAATATAACATTTAATATTCTTGCTTGGAATGTTAATTTAAGTATGGCGTCCTACATTGAGAATAAATGCAGGCTTTATAAAATGAGCTCTATCATAAAGCAGACACTAATACAATTTCTTAGGAACAGGCTCATTTAGTCTTCCCTCTTATTTATGATTCTCATATTACAGGTGGACTACAAACTTGGCTTCTGTTCAGATAGATCAGTAAATTCTAGTTCTTTTAAGCTAGCTTTGTCAAGTAAAAAGAAAACTTCATCCACTGAGCATTCTTATAACCTTCCTCTGAGGTTGCAGAGTAATGAACACACAGCAGTGCGCAATTACACCCCCTCTTCCTGCTAAGTGCACTGCTATACACTCCTAACATGCCAGCACTTCCAGGCTGAATATTTTCTGGGCCCATTTACCCTACACCCTGGCATCCCATTGTGATTGCCTAGGCAGGGGTGCTGTCACTGGATCTTCTTGAGGGATCATGGGAAAGCTGAGAATACCATGAGATTGTGCTGGAACATGGTCTTGGAAAACTTGGCCTCTACTTTCCCAGGATCCCAGGGTGAGGCCTGATGACATTAGCACTTGCAGGAAGCAGAGATAAACTGGATATAAAGTAAGATTTTTGCATTTCAGTGAAATGCTTTATACTGACTGGTTGTTTTTTAATGAAGGGGTGGGGCTCCCATGTAAGTAAACCTGGCATTTTCATGCAAGGTGTGCTTTAAGCAGGTAGGGGTGAGAATTCATCATAGAGGCACCTTGATTAGTGCATGATTATGTTATAAATTCTGTTTAATCCCCATAGTTTCCTTGCAGCATTGAAGCCACCTCTAGCCAAAACTTTAATAGAGCAGAGAAGTGTTAAATTTTAATGTTTTTTTTTTTTTACATTTCTGATGGTCACCCCACTGGCAACATTTCCGTTCACTTTGTAAGAAGTAATAAGGTGAACAGCCATGACATCTTCAGAGATTTAAACCTTTCCAGGTCTTACTACAAAAGTGCTTCTGTTTCTGTCTCTCCCCAATGGAGATGCTTTTCCCCATATCCTAACCATCTGAGCCCACTTTATATGGACACATAGTGAGGTGAAATCTCCCCAACCAGGACATGGCAATAAAAACCTGACAACGGTTCTAACCCCGCCCAGCTATATTGAAAGAAAAGAGGTATTGGCTGGTGTCGGGTTTTAAAGCCAATACCTGTATTTAAGCTGTCACTCGACATTGATGTGATTTGCAGTGAATGATCAATCAAAATGTAATTTTCAGACGTTTGAGTGACCAGACTAAACAACTTCATATTGTTGTTTGCAATACATTACTGTACACCTCTGGCTCTGCACTATATTATTGAATATGCCAAGTTCAGACATGTTCTAGAAATATAGAAACCCGATTTCTTCCTAAAATTCAGCTTCTCTTAAATATTATGTTATACAGAAGAAGGTTTTATTGTAAGGTGTAAACCTTATATTTGTTTACTCATTTATTGTTATGATGTTGTTACATGACCAATATCTTGCTAAAATGTTACACCCAAAGTGTTTCTGTCCTATAGTAATTTCATAGCATCAGTCTGTCCTATTCATATGTGTCTATATGTTGTTGCAGTAAATAAAATCACTTTTGGTAACGTGAGATTGAGGTTTTATCAGCTTTCATGTAGTAATGTGTAATGAATGCATTATTCTCTAATCCTTAAATCGTTTTAATAGGATCTCTATAAAATCCCCTAGTCAGTACATTACAATCGCCCAGTCCATCTGGATCATGCAATTATTATTATTATTACATAGTATTTATATAGCGCCAACAGTTTGCGCAGCGCTTTACAATATAAGGAAGACATAACAGTTACAATACAATTCATTACCTTGTCTATAAATGTTATACCCACTTGAATGTTTGTTTATGACCACGCTGGCCAATTCTGTTGCCTTTTGGCAGTCAGTATGACTGCATGTCTTACTTGCATTGTGAATGAACATCTTAATGTTGCCTAGTGAGCACTGGATGATGATGACAGATCTGCTTGTCCCTTTGCTGCCATGCTAATCCAAATGGTTTATATGATTTCTGAGTTACTGACAGGAAAAGCATACTGTCCGGAAATTAAATGTTATCTTTAAATTCAGGTGATCTTGTTCAGACCAGCAGATCAGGGCTAAAGATGACCGAAACTAGTAATCTTGAAAGAGAACATATGGCCTCTAAAAGAGCTGCCACCATCTGTCATGCATTTGATAATACATAATGAATGGGACTAACATATGGGAAGTGTTGGTAACTAGGCTCCAATAGCCATATGAGAGTGAAATGTTGTTGGTAATTAAGTTGCAATAGCCATATGAAAGGGCCGCATCCTAATTTGACACTAGTAGTAGGTCATAATCTAAGAATGTGTACTGTGAATGCTCCAGCAGTGTAGGTGGGTAGTACATACCATCTGCAGAGGTGCTCTCTAAATTGGGAATGGTGACAATTACTGTATACACAATGCTAATAAATATTGACTTTTGTTACTCTCTGGCCGGTAGTCATCCACCAACATGACTTTTGTGGTATCAAAGCATGGTTAAAATGCCTAATAACACGAGGTTTACCACAATGGTGAAATGTTTTATCTCGATTTGGGTGTATGAACTTTGTCATTTTTTTATTACTTGTATAAAATCCTCATTGTAGATATAAATGTTTAATACACACTTTCATGACATTGCCTGCTGACTTGTAGACTGTCCATCTGAGACTCCATATGGAGCCCTATGAGCTAGAGATCTGAAAGAGAGAAAAAGGAGCAATTTGCAGTGGTGATCAAGGATTCTGACGGTTAAATAGTTATTTCATGAATCAAAAATCAAGTAGGCAAAGGGCTAGGTACTCGGAGGAAATACATATGTATATGAGCAGTTTTACTTGCCACAGGATTTGTATGTCTGACACAAGACCTGAATTTTTCTCTGCTGCCAGTAACACTTACAGGTCTTGTCCCACCCCCCAGCCTGTGATTGGACAATGGATGGAGAATCAGCAGACTGTTTGGCTCGTCTCTCGATCACTCTGCTCTCTTCTATCATCTTGCTGATATAAGCATGTGTACACTGCAGCAGAACTGGCTGGCTCCTTGCTTATCCCTCTCCCAGGCTGGGCTCTACGGTACAGGGATTCCAAGAGGTTGATAACAAGTCTGATTTCAGGTTTTTGCACTGCTTGAATTTGAAAAAGACACATTTAATAATGTATTAATCAATATACAGCTGAATGAATTTGTGTCTTTTATCTGCCTGGAGTTCAGCAATAAACCATATTACTGTGACTATTTTAAGGACTGATAACGCACGTCCTCATTTGATGTAGAGGTTTTTTGTCTGTCTTTTTCCTCCCTTGAGTCTGTTTTTTTTATGAGTAGGTAAAATATATTTGAAAACCTTGTATACTTTGGTTTGCACTATTTGTAAATAGCAGTTTATCGATATGAGGTCTAAGCACACCTGTATAATAACAAATATTGTTAGGCCTTCATTTGCAATCCTTTATATGGATTCCTGTTTATTTCCTAGTGTCCATTATTGAAATCATTGGTTCAATAAAATTGAAATGTATAAAAAAAGACTGCACACCTATGCAATATTTCTTTATAAACTGCCCATAGTTAAAAGTACAACATAGCACATCTTGGTGGATTAATCCTTTTATGGGAAGAGAATAAACATTAAAGCCTATGTAAACCTTAACAATTTCTCTTATTCGCTCCCTTATGGTCTGGTAAATATATAATTGAAAGTGTGTTTTTTTTTTTTTTTTAAATACACGCTGATCCCGCCAGAAATCTTTTGATCTGAGGCACAGGAAGTTATCAATGACATTATTTTCAGCTATTTCTGTGGACTTTAAAATGCCTCCCCTATTCTATAAAGAAGGTAAGAGGGGAGGTATTCTGTAGTCTTCCTTTGGGTGCTAGCACAGCATCTCGGTAGACAAAATTATGTTCTTGGTGGGACCACCAGGTTCAAATTTAGGGGGGAAAGGCAGAAAACAAAAGAAAATTGCCACCCCACATCTAAAGGAATGGTAAGTTGGAATATACAAAATGTTTGTTCCTGAATTTAGATGCTTTGAGCACCCTGGTTTGCTTATTTTTAAGATATTGTGATGCCTTTACAGGTTTAGGTTACAGGCTTGCTGACATTTACTGCTTTTTGTATCTCGGTCAAGTTATGTCTTTTTGCTTTTTTGTACTGTATATATTCTTTACTGCTGCTGAATGCTAATAACCTTAATGTTCTTTGCCCGATTAAGCTTTAATCACGGCGCTTTTATTTTTCTGCCTCTCTTGATAATTTCCTCTTTTCTCTCCCTTTTTTTTTTTTTTTTT